GTAGGGAAATGTTCATCAGATGTGAACACTGAACTCGCTTGTGACTCGGGATGCTCCATAAATAGAACACATACTGATGTTGTATTTCAGCAGATGCAAATCATCTCCCTTTTTCATTATGCTATGTCAAAGCGTCATGCCAAGGTTTTTCTCTTTTTGCAGGACTTTCCTCCCTGCTCTTTTAAAGGAGAAATCAAGAACCCATGCTTGTGCTATCTTTAATTCTAGATTAAATACAGGTAGTGACCAAATAAAAAGAGTAAGGAGTTAATTCTAGGTAGCTAGAGAAGTTGAGGGATTTTTAGTCAGGCTGTTCAAAACCAGTTTTGTTTTTCCCTTTCCTTTCCAGTATCTTGTTTTAATGAGAATTTCACCTTCTCAAGAAAGGTCATCTGAAAGATTCAAGTGCTCCACCTTCTTCAATTAGCATCTTGCTCATAAGAAAATTTTGTTCTGAACTTTCCAGCAGATTCCTTCAACAAAACCAGGGAAGATAATGACATTTCTGAAGAAAAAACCTTCAGACTTGAGAAAAAAGTAACAATCACGAGGAGAGAAACGCCCACTTGGAATATTAAAAGAATGTTTGCAGGCCATATTTAGAGCAGGTTAATCTTTATGCTACAGGAAATAATAGCATCCTCCCGCATACTACTGCGTATTTCAAAGTGCGCAACTATTTAATCTGTTAAACGCTAAGTAGCATTCTTCCACCGGTATAAACGTATCAGTTGTTTCCTTCTTTGAAAATGGCAATCGCAACAGATAATCCAATGAAATGTAGCCGCCTGGGTCTCGCTTGTAAACTGCTGGGACATCTGTGTTGCCACAGGACACAGCCGCTGCTGCATTATTCCAGTTTGCTGAGATACTGATAGCAATCTAACCAACCTAGCGCAGCTCAACGTCCGTCTGTTCACCTGCTTCTCAGCTGCAGCAGGAGTAAAACTGCAGGGCAGACATAACCCGTCCGGTGACTATAAGCAGCTTTGCTAAGACCATCTCATCACTCTGCCTTCACAGTTCTGATACTTGACAAATATGCATTATATATCTTTCTTCCTCTTAACTAAAAAGATCACCTGCAAGCTCGGGCTCATTTGTGAATGGGAAGGCCCGAGTACTTGTTCAAGCCTTTGGAACAATTTTCTTCTGTTAAGAAGACACAGGAGTACCAACATGTACTTTGATAGTTTGTTTTCATTAGTATAATTACAATACATTCTGGACAATTACAAAATCCGGGGAATCACGTTTTTCTCCATAAATTTCTATTGCAAATGTCAAACATTTGGGTGACTTTCCATTACTTCTGCACACTTTTCCTATAATCTTCGTAAGGACATCCAGTACAGCAACCCTTTTTTTTTGGGGGGGGTGTGTGTGTGTGTGTGTGTGTGTGTGTGTTTGTTTCAGCAGCTTTCGCAGTTCTGCTTTGTGCCTCAGGCTTTGATGTCCACCTTGAATGCTGGTTTAGCTGCTCAGTTAAAAGCCTGTGGCTAGTCTCTCTCATGTAACACCAATTCAATAGAGGACATTCCCGGTGGGACAGTTTAGAAAAGGTATATATGCAAAATGATTTCTGGGTCGCTTAGAGCAATAACATTTAGTGTATTTCTAAAGTCAAATCCGGCTCTAGATCAGAAGGAATGCCAATGAAGTCAGTCAAGTATTTAAACTTTCAATTTAGGAGGAGAATTTGGCTCCACATAAACTCATAGCAAAGATAGCAGTTTTCTCAAACAAAAAATACTGCCCTTACTGCGAGCCACCTGGCATCCTCAAATACAAGAAGCATTCTCCTGCATAGCACTGTTAAAACGTAAAAACATCAGCTACTGAACCTAAAAACATTTTCAACCCACTTTTGATAAACTTTAAGTACATTGTACTTAGCTGCTTCAAAACACCTCTTTGTGTCAGCAGGTGTGGCTACGCATAGTTTCCACATACAGGCCACTGAGTTACATGATCTCGTATGTAGGAGCCGACCAGTATGTTTGCTCATTTCTAGGAGTCAGTCCAGCAACATTCTGGTCCAGAGAAATGCATACCCGTACCCGTACCTCTTCCGCCCCAGGGACAAGTGATATGACTCTGACCATAGGAGCATACAGCAAACTAGCAAAGCATTTAAATAGTTGGCAAAAGTGTTGAAAGGCACATAGCTTGTCCTTAGCAATATCTCCCTGTTCCGCTTGTGGTGCCCATTGAGGAATCAGTGTTGGGACCTAGCTTGAAATAAAAAAATAGTAAGGAAATGGAAGCCTCCTGGGAAAAAGAATTAGGTTGCCTTTTTTTTTTTTTTTTTTTGAGCTTTAAGATTTCACTATTGCATGTTTTCCTCTACCTTTCCAGTGAAAATTAAGGAAGCTATGGATGCATGTTAACCATACCTATGGACTTACTACTACTGGAATACCAAATGGTAGAGCTGCTGTAAACTGTTCCAAGTACTAAAAGCAATGCTCATAATGGTCTGTACAGCATTTGCAAATATTTACTTTGAAAATAGATTAGTGTAGTTCTTAGTTTTCTCAGCATTGCTTAGAAATGCTAAAAAACTACAACAGCTAACTGCTACTCTACACCAGATCAATATACCCCAACAGATATTTAGGAATATATGCCATTATATTTAAAAATACCAAGTTCCTCTAAGCTGATAAACCTAGAAGATTTTACATAGAGTTAGAGATAAAATATTAAAAATTCTTGTTTCAACTCCACACACTTGACATCTGAATAGGAGTGATGTAATCATACTATTTATTCCATCAGTGAGACAAAATGTTGTATGGAACTAAACTTCTGAGATTTTAAATAAAAAGTCATTTAACTCATGTATAGACAAAGTGTTCTTTCCACAGATATTTACATGGCAAATATGTTAGAGGAGAACCACTATGACTAAGTCTCTACAAGTATAGCATCCTTTCTGAGCTATCTCTCTGCTGAAAGAATTCACAGAAGCTTTGAAGTAAAATCTAGACAATTAAAGGTACCTATATTTCACAGTTGGTAAAGAAGCCATTAAATTATATTTCAGCATAAGGTTTCTGGAAACAGCTACACAGTAGAGTTTTACATCCACCCCTCCTTTCCAGCATTCACGGTGAAACTAAATCTCTTCTTAATTTACAAGAGAGATAACAGCATACGTAAAGATGTACGTGTATAATTGTAGTTCATCCTCCTCGATAGAGGCTGGTCAGCCGTTCTAGTTCTTTGCAGTTTTCCATGGGCATGGAGTCTGCTTTCTTTCGGAGACGGTCATCTCGATATACTTTTGCTGCATAAACTAACTCTGTTTCTTTAATGAAAAAAGGAGAAAAGATTTTTCAGGTTAAAAACCAAATACTTCACACAAGATACACTCCTCCTCGGAGCTGTCCAAAACACCTCAGGTTTAATCCCCACCTTTTTTTTCTTCTGTCTATTCTAACTACCCACAGACATCACGTAAACAGCACTGCTACAGCTTCCTTTTGCTGGATCTTCACAAGCATTTCATCCCTTTGAGCAGGGAAAGTGGTAACAGCCTTCCAGCACCCTCATATTTCAGAATGCAGTATCTGATTAAAAAAAACCAACCAAACAAAAAACTCCCTACTAGTTCTGTCAGACCTCATTAAATAATATAAATATAGGCCATGCTCAGTGATCTTGCATCTTATTGACAGCTCCAGCATCTTGTCTGTGCCCAAAAATCCATTCTGAATGCTAAGCCCATTACTTCAACTGATGCTGCTTCAGACTGCCATTGCAGATGTTTGTTAGGTCATTGAGTGAAACACAGAAATTCAGTGACACTGGGGACACTTTTAGAAATGAGAAACAGCAGGGAACCTTACACTTGCTTTCTCCTTCAGATATTTTAATAACACAAGCACTTCATTCTTGCCTGAGGCAATCTTTTTTTATAGTAATGAATGCTTTCATGAAATTACACATATTACCAAACTTACTTTGTTGCCTCTCCTTCCAACAGTTATTACGAATGTTGGACACATAATCCTCTTCCACACTCTTTTCCACTTTCTGTAATGAGACTCCTTTGTATTCATTTCTAAAGTCCTTGTTCACATAATAAACGACACCCAAGTTTTCTGTCTGCATTTTTATGGTCTGCCCTGTACTTCTGCAAAAAAGGAGGGAGGGGGGAGAGAGACTAGGTATTTATTTCATTTCTTCCACACCACAAATACACTTTTAAAAAATATCGCTATTACAGAAGAACAGCTCATCACTGAATTTGCCATTTCAAGACAAGTAATGAAATGAACGGCTGTATAATCTGCCAGAGAATAAAATTACCACATTTACCCGGACATTAAACTTCTGCTGCTTAAACCCGTGATCTTGAAAAAAAACCCACTTTAGTAAGACATTTTTAGTTTAGGAGGTCTTCTAATACAAGGATGAGAAAGTTGCTTTCATGTACCTCACATGCTACAAGCGCAGATGACCCCTAAAAGAATAATAAGCCTTACCAAGTTTCAGGATTTGATTAAATATGATGGAAATGCAAACACCTTTGCAACATGCTACGTTGCATGGACCCACTGCCTTGTACTAGAAGACCTCCTAAACTCCAGGTATTGCTGACCTCTTTTCTCCATTACATTCTCACAGCATGTTCTTAGTACCTAACTTTCAAGTTTTGTTCTGCTTTGTCTGTACCTTCCCTCCCTTTCCTCACTGTGGGAAATCAAGGACCAACTAATGGAAAACTCTCTAAAATGCTTCTAAGTGGGAGAGGGTGATTACAACGCCCTCCCCTCTGTTTCAAGCTAATGTAATCAAGCATTACTTACGGTCTTGGGTATAACGTGTAAGGAGAGTTAGATACCATCAACTGGCTCAACAAGGAGACAAGGATCAACACAATAATAGGCATCAGCTGAATGAACATAGAGAAACCTCCCTAAGGAACAAAACAGATTCAGGTATTTCATAAAACAGCATCAAGTAAACAGGTAAATTTGACAAGATTTAATGCTAAGCATGACTTTCTGCTTTAAGCATCAAAAGCTGCTAGGAAAACTGTAACTACAAACCTGCAAACACTGTGGTGCTACCTGAACTTCCAATGCATACATAATATTCATAGAGAGCTCAAGCTGCAGGAGTTCATGGGTTAGCATGTAGCCACAAGCAATTACCAAATGAAGAGCTGGATTCGGTTACATTGTATGCCATGATTTGGTCTCATCTATACAGTGATATGTAATTATACAGGACTATACATAATTCATATAGATAAATATTGAGCATTAAGTACAATTCTTATCTCAGCGCAAATAAATTTTTAAATATAGACAAGGATTAGTGACCAGAACTAGTGGCATATTTAGGCTAAGACTATCAGTCACTAGCAAGATAGTGACATAGAACAATAGATTTACCAAACCAGGCTGTTGTCTTCTCGAATTTGCATGTCTATTTACCAATCAGTAAGACTACCACCTGCCAAAGTTTTAAAATATGTAACTGGCAAGTACAAATCCTCCCCTACAGTGCAAAGCTCCTGTACAGTCACATCACTGAAAGCAACTACCAGCAAATTTCATAATCCACAGTTTAAAGTCAATGGTGCCTAAACATACATCACCCCTCTCTTCCTCCCTCTCATGTCCACTCTGACGGTGCTGATTAGGATGACTGTAGCCAGCACGACCATTAGAAAATGAATGTACACCACCTAAGGAAAGAAATCGTTACATTTAAATCACGTAAAAAAAAAAAACTATTTAGAGGTCAATACAGAAGCAACAACAAAAAGCATTTAACATCATTGCACAATGACACATAACTTTAAGGTATCTTACAATTTCAAAGTTGTTTAAAATAAATATTTTAAGCTCCAAGACAACTGATTTGTTATTTCATGTACCACAGAATCACCATAGTAACCCCAAGGAACTGAACTCACATTTTTGGGATTTAGCAACACTTAGGGGAAAAAAAACCAAAACTGTGATGCAGATTAAAGAGTTGGGGTCCAAGGCAGGTTGGAGTAATTCTACTGTTTTATAATGTCACAAAATCTAATGCCACTCTAGGCAGTACCACTGTAACTGATGATTATACTGATATATACAAATACCTGTTGGAAAGGCCCCTCCAAAAAACATGTTGAATAGATCCTCTGGAGTAATATCTGCCTCACAACCTCTATGGAAGTTGAATCTACCGTTGCTAGGGCGATTGCATGTTTGCTCTTCACTGCCTGTAAGGTCATACTGCTTTCGTTTTTCTGGATTACTCAGCACAGCATACGCATTTCCAATTTCTGAAGCAAGGAATAAAAGACAACTCCCATAAATGAAAGATAAGAGCTATTCCAGCACGAAAATTGCAATTTCAAAGTCAAGAACAGGCAGCAAATTATGTCCTTTACTGTATGTTACAAATCAGCTATAGCAAAACAATGTCCAGAAACGTTTCTGCTTTTCTTAGGATAGCTTCCACAAAGTTTCCCACCAACGCTATTCAAAGGCCTTTTATCCTGTTGAACTGGGCAGAAGGCAGGAGAGCTTTGATCCTTTTTCTAGGGCAACACCTACACCTGTGGAAATGTTCTCTCTCACTGCAATTACAAAAAAAGCATCAAGCATTACAATAAAAGCTTTGAAGTGGGGTAATTGCAAAGTTCAGTTTGCTCTAGCAGCCTAGCTTAAAACCATTGTAGACTCGGTAGGTTTTCTTTGGTTTCATTTAGGAAGTGGTGACTTCTTCAAATGCATCAATTTTATTGTCTGCAAGAGTGTGAATGTATTTTTTTATATGCTTCTTAAGATATTTTATGGATTACAGTAATAACACAAAGTTTTGGATGACATAACATGTGTGCATGACAGGAACATGTGTGCTCCCAAGGTTGTCAATACAACCTCAAAGTTTGGAGTGCCTGGCCTGGACGTTTGTCCCCGTTCACACTACATTATCACAAATGAACAACTTCAGTTTTGACAGCAGAAAGGGAAAAACTGAGTTAGGCGAGCACGGAAAGAATCACTGTGAAAAGACCACAAGCTCCGCTGACTTTACAAGTGTTGACTCTAGCTGCTGTGCATAGACATACAGCTCTTGCAGATTGAAGGAAAATTTCTGTTGACACTCGATGAACAATCTTCGCTCAGTCACGCCTTCATTAAACCCCTTCTGCTTTCCTTTCTTCTCTCTCCTCCAGGCCCCTCCAGCAAAAGGCTGCTTCTAAAGCCAACCAACACAAGGTACAGGGATTATGTTTTTCAGTGATGAGTGCTGTAGTGGCCAGCAGGTCGGGAGAGGTGATTCTGCCCCTCTACTCCGCTCTCGTGAGACCCCACCTGGAGTACTGTGTCCAGCTCTGGGGCCCCCAGCATAAGAAGGACAGGGACCTGTTGGAGCGGGTCCAGAGGAGGGCCACAAAAATGGTCAGAGGGCTGGAGCACCTCTCCTATGAGGCCAGGCTAAGAGAGTTGGGGTTGTTCAGCCTGGAGAAGAGAAGGCTGCGGGGAGACCTTATAGCAGCCTTCCAGTACCTGAAGGGGGCCTGCAGGACAGCTGGAGAGGGACTTTTTACACGGGCATGTAGTGATAGGACAAGGGGTAATGGCTTTAAACTAAAAGAGGGCAGATTTAGATTAGATATAAGGAAGAAATTCTTCACCATGAGGATGGTGAGGCACTGGACCAGGTTGCCCAGAGAAGTTGTGGCTGGCCCACCCCCGGAACTGTTCAAGGCCAGGTTGGGGCTTTGAGGGACCTGGTCTAGTAGAAGGTGCCCCTGCCCATGGCAGGGGGGGGAGCGGACCCCGGCCCATGGCAGCGGGGTTGGAACCAGATGATCTTTAGGGCCCCTTCCAACCCAAACCATTCCATGATTCTATGATTCTATGAAAAGCCATCAGTCATCGAAAGACTGTGAAAGGTGCAACACTATAACCTCAACACAGGCAAATAAGACTATGGCTTTGCATAATTAATGTTTTCAACATTATCCAGTCTAAAGAAAAGTTAATGAGCCTTAGCTATGTGCCTTTTAATACGCCCTTAGAAATAATCATTAGCAATTCCTTTAAGTGGAGGAGAAAACCCACAGAAATGAAGCCTGGTAATTTGCACTGAGAGCATGATATACACTACTGACACCAAATATTGCTAGAAGGTTCCTCTGTTACTCAGCATGAGGATAAAATTGGTAGTAAAAATTTAGATTTTCCCAACAATTAAGAGTTTAGGGAGACACAAATCAGGTGACTACATATAAAGTGAAGACACCATACTGTTCTGGTATGGTCAGCAATCTTTTTTGACTATTTGTTATTTGCTTTTGATTATTTGATGCTAATTCACAACAGATTTTATTAAAATATAATTTTCTTTAAATAAAGGACATAAAAAAAAGAAAAAAAACTGCTCAAAAGTTTCAAAGGAAAGATTCTTGATGATGTTGGTAAAAGAGATTCCAAGAGATTAAAAGTGATTACATTTGCACAAACTTTTTAATCTAAAATATAACCTCAGGGAGACTGCTTAATACAACAGAAGAGTAGTACTAGGTAGATCAAGATCTAAGTATGTACCTTGCCTAACATCAAACTCAATTCTGTTTTCTAATGTGACCTTTCCTTAAAATAAAGCATTATTATGAAATAATAACTATTATTATGAAATTTCTTTTCTCAGCTGGATGTTAGAAACTCAGACACCTTTAAAGGCAAACTAGATCATAAATCTACTCAGCCATCTAAAAAGCATACAGTAATTTCAATGCAAGAAAAATCCTAGGTTTCATTAAATAATTTTTAGTCAACAAGATTCCCCTACAAAATTTTCTGTTCATTTACTCATCTAGTTAAGAACCAGAAAGTGAAATTAAGCCAAAGAATCAAACTTGTATGAAGTGCTAATGTTAAATAAAAGATTAAATAGTAAGAAACTGATTTCTAATATTTTAAAGATTATTTAAAATGCTATTAACAAGGAAGGGCTGGAGACATGGAGACAATTTTATAAGAATAATATCTTTTTTAGGTAAAGCCATCACATAGCTGTATTAAAATAATCATTAGCAATCAACTTTCCTACTATGTTCCATCTACTTTTCATCTGGAATTGTTAATATATTATAATTACCCCTTCAAGGCTGTACCAAAAGTCTTGCTCAGGACTTCTTTTTTTTCTCTTTTTTTCTCTCCCCCAATTTAAGCTGATTGATTTTTTTCAAATGTCTGTATGCAAACTTCATACCAGGGGAAAAACCAAAAAGATGTACCACAATCAGATTGTTTATTTATGCATGACCATTTCTTACAGATTCACATTTTTTTGCATCTGTGTCTGAGATGAAGGTGTAGTTTTCTTTAAAAAGCTTTTCCTCAACAATGTTCCTTGTGCAGGGCTAAGCTTGGCAGCATTAGATCAGGTAAAGTCAGACTGGAAATTTCACCTAAGAAATGGTCAAAGGCAGCTATTAGTAAAGGCCGCGTTTGAACCCAAGTGTTTTTGTGTGGAAAAAGTAGTAAAACTACAGACATACAAGGAATCTAAGGAAAAGATAACTTAGCATGGCACACAATTCAGTAAAAACTGCATTTTGCTATCAAGTATTACTTTGCTTTTTTCAAGCCCAAGTATAGTAAAGAATCAAGATAGTAAGATTCAATTGACTACATTGTCAGCAACAGTAAAAAAGTGCAACTAGGTTTCAGAGATAAAGTATTTGCTCCCTGTACCTGAAAATTACAGTCAATCCTCTGAAACCAAACCCGACTGCAAAAGTCCACATTATTTATCTATACTTCTAGGTACATGTTAAGATACTAAAGGTCAAATATTTTCTTGGATAAAAATGTAAGTTTAGTATTAGCTACAAAACACCACATTGACATTTCTGTAAAAAGACAAGTGGCCAATGCAGATGAATTTCTTTTAATCTGACAAAATTTAATCATAAAAGACATTTTAAGCAAAAATGGTATTTTACTTTTAAAAGCTTCTGCTGCTCCAGGTGCATGGTTTTTGTCTGGGTGGAATTTCAAAGCAAGCTTTCTATAAGCCTTCTTGAGGTCTTCTTCACCTGCATCCTTTGACACCCCAAGGACTTTGTAATAATTTTTACATTTCTTTATCCTGCAAAAGAAAATGAAGTGAAATGTTGTAAACAAAATGATGGAAAAGTAGCATGTTAGAACACAGCTGCAAATGAGGTAATACTCACTGATGCAATACATTACATCTCTCGCTTTCAATATCAAATATAAAAAAAATTCCACTCTAGAAACAAGGAATGCCATTTTTCATAACAAACTCACTATTGAGCACAATAAACTATTGTACTCATAATTGCTTACTACATACATTTATTTTACTACTTCTACTGTAAAACTACTGCGGTTGTAAGAGAAGGTTTCAGTTTGCAATTACTGAAGCATTTCCTTATCCCCAATTATATGAATCTTGCTGTTAATAATGCATAAAATGAAGATTCCAAATTTACTTCACAGAGCTAGCGGGTAGGAAGGCCTGTTTTGACTGTCAACAGCAAAGGCACTTTGGTGTGCATGATATAAAATAAAACAAATAATACATCCCTTTCTCCATACAAAGTCAAGTTATAACACCATTCAAGCATTCACTTTTCAGGGAAATAAGGCATGTGAGAATACCTCTGCTGCTGGGAATGCACCTGGATCCGAACAAACTTTCTGTAAGTGTTTATATAAATTCAAAGAAACAATAACTGCTCCAGCAATTACAGATTCAGCTCATCTCATATGTTCAATGCAGCATTTTTTAAAACTCTGAAAACTTGGAAATATTCTTCCTGTAGGCAGTCTCACCCAGACAGCAAAAGCAAAATCTGGAAATGATGTAATGATTTCGTATGCTTTACAACACTCAGAAGAGAGAAAGAGCAGTTACAGGGGACAGAGAGAATATTAATTTTATGTGGGCAGGAAGAAGTGACCAAACCAATAAATACACCGTAAAATCAAACCAAGTTACTTGGGTAAGAATTCAGAAACTTAGAAAAATAAGGCCAAATCACAAACTTGCATTACAGAAATGAGGCACACTGACATTTGGTGCATACCAAAAGAAAAGGGCTAGTCCGAGCAAGAAATAGAAATTACAACCATAAATATTTTAAAAGCTTCGTGTGAGTCTCTTCACATGTCTGTAACTGTGTCCACATTCTCTTAAACGCACAGATTTCTATGTAAATATGGGCTTAGTGTTACAAAGACTATACACAGGGCAGCCAACAGGAAAAAAAGGGGGTAAGCAAGTCTTTGGCATTTTCACGAAAGAATGGGTACCCTGTAATTAAGGGAACACTAGCATCAGAAGTACAACCACACCGTCGTGTGTGGTCCTTCATAGCTCACAGATTGATCAAATCAAGTTTCATTTGAGGGATCCCTTTTCCTGTGTTCAAATAACACAAGCTTTTATGGAAGTCTCGGTGCAATGCTCACAAGAGCACTGAATTGAACGTACGCAGGCAGCTGCCAACACGAACGTCCTGTGAAATAAATATAGCTCATTATATTGAAATAAATATAGCTCATTACATTGAAGTAACATTTAACAAGCTCCAGTTAGGAAGCTGATAAAACTAACTAAAAAGAACACAGCGAATCCATCATCAAGAATGAATGGAAAGAAAATAAATTAAATTATACTCTGAATACTGGAAACTTTTGTTTGTTCATTTGTACAAGAACAAAAAAATCTGGTAGTGTGCAGATCCCTTCATCCTTAGCCTCAAGACCTGGATTACTTATGAACTGTATCAAGAACAAGAGCTTTATTTAAAAGTATAACAGTATCAAATTAAGCTTTTATTTCAAGAAATTGCCATCTCAGCATCCAATCTAAGTTCTTCTCTTCAGTAATTCAGTATCTGAATTATCTGTTTGTGGATGAGACTCTTCAGAACTTTGGTTGATATAAAATGAGGTAGCGAGTCATCAACATTTAGCAAAGTTGTTATTTTATTAGCATTAAAACTGTAGTGTTAAATGTTTGCAAGTGTTTTTAAGCACCACACATCCTCAGCAACTTTCTCCCCCAAGAGCATATGGTCATTTCTCATGGAAGTAACAAACATGAAAAAAACCCCACGAACGTTTACTTCTTTGCAGACCTGATATGCATTTATTTCACAACTGTAGGATGCAGAGAAGAGAAAAATGGAAAAAAAAAAACCCAAAACCAACCCCAGAAATGCCAAACTGGTCTCCTAACCCTCAAAAACTCACCCCAGAGTTTTTTTCACATTCAAAACCAGTGAACGTCCCCCAGTGGGAAACCCTCATGGGCAAAGCAGGAAGGGCGGGTATCAATCAGAAGACGTTCAGGTCAGCACATGACCTACCAGCTTCTGGCACCACGATCTGCTCAGAGCCAGTGCACCAAAGCAGAGCTACTTCCTGATGGGAAAGTGCAGGAAGAAACCTGCCTTGTGGGTCATATGGCACTTGCCCTCCAAAGGGATGAATGCAACCACCCTCCATGCAACAGCTATCCTGAACCTGGTCCACAAATGAGCTATTGTTATTTATCAAGAAACAAGCGTTCAGCCGAGGTATAACACACTTCTACTTTCTCTTAGCAAGTCTTTGCTAGTGATTGCTTTGTTAAACAAAAAATTCTACAAATACACAAGCATCTCTCTTCCAACAGTCCTGATTTTGTATGAAGCTATGATTTAATATTTCAAGCACATCTTATACCAGATCACTCTCATACCCTGACCTGCTACCCTAGGCTAAACAGCCAGCCTCAAACAAAGAAGCCTTTGTGAGTTTGTGACAGCCATCTCTGACTTTCATTCTCCCTTGCGCGTTCGTGTCAGGACAGGCACGCTCACAGCAACGCTGCCTGCAGCAGACCTGTAACCGACCCTCCAGATCCTTTACATGGGCCTCCTTTCTACTGCACAGGCTCAACGCCGAGATACATAACCCCTGTTCACTGTTTAGCCTGTTGTCATCTTCAGATCTCAACCAAGTCACTGCTGGCTCTTACAAACCTCAGCAGCAAACGTAAGCTGCAAGTACTCTGCCAGATAGCCTGAGAAGCACTGCTGCATGTGACTTCATGGTGAATCACGTGGAATATGCATACACATATGGCAATTTTGCAGAGTTTAGCAGGACTTTGGATTAGGTAGATCAGGCTTTAAGGCTAAAATACATTAAATGATTGCACAAAAGCACAGGGGCCAAAAACCATACCTAAGCCTGGAATTCTCGGCAATGACCTTGTGCTTTGAAGCCCTTGCTACACTCTGCCATTAGACAACGGTTTTACTTTTTTGCTTTGAAGTGGCAAAGCAATTAAGTATCTGGACTGCAAGTAGCTAGCATCTAGTTAATGCAAAGTTTCCTACAGGGAGGGAGTTAGTGACTTCTGCCAGGAGGTCCCTTACTGAGCACAATTCAGGGCAATCATTACAAGGTAATGGCTCGGTTTTTCCCCCCCTCAGCAAAGTCCATGCGAGTTTTGCACCAAAACTTGTACTGCAGCAGCTTTGTACTGGGGATGGTGGGACAAGCAAAGATGATTAGAAGGTGCTTTCCAGTTAAACAAAATTATCAGTATTCATGGTACACTCCTGAGAGGCAAAACTTTAATGCATCAAAACTCAACCTGGCAAGTCAGTTTATAGCAGGACAAACTGTATGGGATCACCAGGGCAACCCGCCAGATCCTCAGGTCATACACGTGCTGTACAGTCACCAGGCTTCTCAAACACTGTTGGAACACACACCACATCCCTCCTCCACCTTAAAGAGATAGAGGAACATGGGCGTGGCACAGAGATTCTCCAAGACTTAAGTCCTCTTCCTCCAAACTACTGCTGTCCCGATGAGACGTTTCTTTCCAGCTACTGGGAGCTGTTGGAAGCCACGGCCAACCTGATCCTTGTCCCTCAGCAGAAGCAGGCCTTTTTGGACATATTCCTCACCCCTTGTCTCTGGGTAGACTGATGTCTGACAATCCTCACTCTGCCAGCATCCCTCGCCTGGAGCGTTGAACTGTCCTGTGGAGATTTGTCACAGGAGGGCAGATGGACGGAAAGAATCGTCCCCTTCCCATTTGTCTCCCATTGCAGGCCAGACAACACCAGCCAGCAGACACTGGGAAAAATTAAGAGTAAAACCAGTGGAGGTTTTGGAAAAGACCGATCACTGATGTTACTTACGGCTTTTAACCGCATCTGAAACGCCTGTCCTGCAGCACTCTCAGCATGAACAACTAACTTTCTGAAAGCTGCATTTCAAATAGTTGTTCATTTGGTTTTGCTGCACTTGGAGCACTGTTGTCCCTAGTGCTAATTTTCTTGCATATGTAAACTGCACACAGATGTTTCTTTTCAAAACTGCAATTTACATATCACCTGCTTATAGACTGCCCCTTTTATATTGAATTGGGGTTTTTTGTTGTTTATTTTTGGGTTATTTGAAGTTTGGTGCTTTCACTGTTAATTTGTTTGGGGGTTGGTTTTTTGTGAATTGCTTTTCTTGTGTTTTTCATTCCTGGCTGGATCACTTCTGCATCTGAATTACTATCAAATTATTTCTGTTGTTTAGCTAATTTCTGTCCTTGCTGAATTGCTAGTCCCCTGCCAGCACCTTGGCACTGTCCTTCTGCTTAACAGATTTGCTGGCTGCTTTAGGAGGGCACATTGCTGAATGTTCCTGAAATAATATCTGACTTCTAGAGAATAGACTTCTCAAACAGCATAAGGGCAAGTGATGGCCTACATTCATCCACAATCTGTCGACAGAGGTATCTCGTCATGACTTGCAAAGCTCTACTCTCCTAGCTTGCAGGTGACAAGCCACCTGCAGTAGAACTGGTCAGCCAGCTTCAAACTGCAGCAACCAGCCAATTCTGCCTGTTGCTGGGCTCCTCTCCATGCTCTGATGGCTGAAGGCAGAGGAAGCCCTTCAGCTCCTGAAATGTCTGCTCTCACCTGCAGAAATTCTGGGGCTACCACCACTGGGTCTCCTGTGACTACAGAATGATGTGATCCTACTGTTGTGCTGCTTGTTTCACTTTCCAAATCAACAATTCAGATTAGGTCAGCATCAACAGCTTTTATCAGGTTAACAAAA